GAGAGGTAGCAGCTGAACTTGTTTCAGTGGAGGTACTTACAAAAGGAGCATGCTGTGATTGTAGCCTTGGACTCCCCTCTTCTCTTCTCTAGAAAGTTAGGGAATACTACTAGGGAGAGTCCTCTAAATAGCATGCTAAAGGAGTAGAGCAACTGCAGACAGTCATGAAAACCAAAAAAAAGGACAAATATCTCAAGAACAGGAAAGTGCCCAAAACAGTTAGACTCTTTGATTAAAACAATTATGATGCACTGTAAGGCCCAGGAAAATACACAAATCTGTCCTTTGTTTGCTTATAACAATCATGTGATTGCGTGCAACAAGAATTAACTTGTCTTTTGATCTCAGACTAATTCTCCCTATATCATCATAAATTACAGAAGGAACAGGCCCAATGTTTTTATAAGTTCCATTTTCATTGGTGGTGTTTTGACATTTTTTATTTTGCTTTTATCAGATTTAGTTACTATTTCTATTTGATATATTGTATAGTATTTTAATCTACAATTTAGCTCTTAACTGTTGATAATCGGTCTCTTGGGTTAAAAGTTAGGCAGATTGCAGTTATATCAGGGCTTTTCAAGAGCATTGCTCACATAAAGGCTCACAGTTAAACTAGTCTTTTTAACTTTCTTCTTTTTCAAACTGAAAATTTGTGCTTTCCTTTAAAAATTATGTGTTTGCAACTCGTCTTAAGTTTGGGACACTTTTAAGATACATTGAAATACTGAGGCAGAATACTTCAGAAATCCAGGAAATGATTGTGCTACATTTTTAGATGTTGTTAAATTGGCTGAAGACATCTTGCGTAGCTTCATCCTAAAAGTGCCTGTGCTGCTCTTCAGCCTAAGCTGAGTGCAGATGTTGTGCAGACAGAGACCACTGTAACTTAGTGCAAAGCATCACTGGGGATGTAGATATGTACTCTGGCTCAGTTATGGCTCCCCTTGCCAAACTTTTAAAGTCAGATGTTAAGTCTGCATTTTTTTCATGTCTATAGCCTTTCCTGTAGCAAACCATGACACACTACTGTCTGTGTCAAGATTTGCAGAACCAGGTAAACGAGAGGTACTGTTCTGGCTCCTGAGAAAAGCCACCCCCAAAAGGAGGTGTAGAAACAGCAGCAACATCAGTATCATGGGTCGAGCTGCAGCAGTCTGCCCTGCGGCTGAGTCAGCTTGTGCCAGCCAGATCCCTGAAAGTGACTTCTCAGATCTTTGGAGAGTAAAAAGTTCTCTGAAATGCAGCATTATCACATAATACCGAGTAATTGACCTCTGACGGTCTTTTTCTCTGTGAATTTATGACCAATAGCTTTGATTGTTAAAAGAAGTCGGATTACCTCACTAGAACTTCCATCTCTTGGAAAATGACATGAATTGGAGATTGAGGCCAATACCTCCACCATTCCCACCGTACCCACAGGGGCTGGCAGGCTTGTCCTGCCTTGGGGGGGAGGAGTAGTTGGAGCTCTTCTCCTAACACGAACACAGAAATGCCTGCGGGTACCACCTCATAATACCATTACAACCTCCTCCTTTCCCCTTCTTTTCAGTAGAAAAATGGGTGCTATTGTTAATTGATTGCTGATTTTTCCTTTGGAATACTTTTTGGGAAAAAAGTTACAATGTTGGTGGAGGTTACTGTAACTGAAGAGTTGCCTCAGATGCAAAAATTGCAATCAGCATGCATTGCAGAGATACGGTTTGGGGGTAAACAGTGCTTCAATTTTTTTTTATAGCTAGTGCATTAAAAAAACCAAACCCAACACTTTGTTATAAAGGTGCTCTATTCTGTGGAATACCAAAGTAAACTGGAACTGTGGATTCGTCGCTGAAGGATTATTTCTTTGGCAGAATAATCTGTGAATTCTACTTCTGCTGTCTGAAGCCAGCTTCAGCAAAAATGCTTTAGAAGTACTTTCTTGAAATCTGCTCTTTCAGTGAGTGAAGGCAGGTTGTCTTTACTCCTTTAAGCAATGCAGGAAAGAATATTGGAAGTGTTTAGGCAAATAGTGATACAACATACAACAGAAAGATGTACTGCAACAGAGATATTAACATTGTACCTTTATGCTCCTGTTCACATCGCTCAGTTTTCAAAAATGGTAGACTGGGAAGCTGCGGAAAATTGTAGGCAACTACACTAGCAAGAGTTCTCACTTTCATGTTTTTCATAAAAATCAAACTGCCCTTTATGGGCTGTTAATTTGTGAAGTCGTTTATCTCAGGGCAAGACTGTATTTACAGAATCTAACCTAAAGACAGAATATTGTAGCCTGGGATTTAAAAATGTCACTGCACATGATGCCAGAATAAACAGAACAGAAATTAATTTCAGTTACATCTACCCTGACAGTTCCCAAATGTTTTTAATACATTGCCTCTTGGCATTATATTCTTTTCCTATTCACCTACAACAAACCTCTATCTATGCTAAAGAAGTACATGTCATCGCATAAAACTTTTCTTCATAAAAATTGGAATAATTAAATATTATAGCTAGCTCTGTGCCTGGTAGAGATTAAAGGTGGTATTTTCTATGCTATGGCAGTGACCACTGTCATTTTCTAGTGGCTTCCTTCTTTTCTTTATCAATTCTGTATCTACGACTTACCTCAGTTGTAAATTTAGAGGGAGGTGCCTTCAGGGGGGGCACTGCATAGTGGTGTGGCTCAACGTAGCACAAATAGCGTGTGCTACTGTAGTACAACTCGCAGTTAGTGTGTACGTCCTAGCCTTTCCTCTCCAGCGCTACACCCAAAGAGTACAGAGATATTACTCTGCCTTTTCCCACCTTTATCTCCATGGGTTTCTCTTCTTTTGAAGTTGTTTTGACCTTCTACCAAGAAAAGGTCAAGCCAAGATACAATTGTCCTAAAATAATCTTTACTTAGCATGATTTCCTAGACTCTTTGGGCAGAGACCTTGTTTTCGATTTTAAGCGATCTGTTTTCTGCAGTAAAACACTGAATATGTCTCTCTGTTGCTATAGAAATAATATTGCATTAAATGAGTGCCCTGCTGTCGACAAATCTAATCTAAGTGTTAGTCTCTAGAGCTTGAATTTCACCGCTGGGAAGAAGTATACATAATTCTACAAATTATTTCTGTAACTTATGCATAAATGTCTTTATACTCTGAAACTGTTAGCTAAATTTCCCAAAGCGATAGCATGGAGATTAACATGGTGTAATGTGTTTACATATATCTTAACAGAGCCTTCCCCCTTGCCTTTTCCCCGCCCCCCTCCCCCATACATTTTCATATTTATAGCTTCAAATTGCCAACTCTTTGCACAGGAAGGTGGGCAGTGACAGGAAAACCAGCTTTCTCAGCCGTGTTCCTGACCCCATGGACAATAAAATGCACTAGGTTTATTTAAATTTTTTCTTTTTTTTTTTTTAAATCCAGCTCCTCCAAGTAACATGAGATGTGATTTGCCCTGTTTTTTCTAGGATTGGCAAGGATATTTTCCATAACTGGAAGGATGGCCTAAACTGACCGCAGTCCTGGTACATTATATGCCCAGTATTTCTCAAGTTACTCAAAGACTTTTGCTACAATAACTTTCTACCCTGTACAGCAGTTAAACACAAGAGAGTTGTGGATTTTGACTTTATGCACCACATATCAAATCTCACATCTGTCTTTACATTTAGACATAATTTAGACATAATATGAATATGGTTTTTTCCCAGTATTTTTCTAAAGCTGTAGAATTCTAGTAGTGGCAATAAGGTGGTACTTAAGCCTGTATCTATAGGGTATGGAAAAGGAATTGAAATCTTCACTAATAATAGTTACTAAGGGTCAGTGTTTGTCAACATATTGATCATAAGTATTTTGAAGAAACATGAAGCAAAAAAATCTCTTCTCTCATAGTTAGATTACAGGAGCCCCTCTAATACATTTCAATGTACAATATATATGTGTACTTACAAAAATAAAGCACAATTTAAAAACACATGATGATTGATTTGCATAGACTTCTATGCAAATGTATGTTATAAATCTGATTTCAGAGTTCTTGTAAAAATCCTGTTACAACTTCTTGGTTAAAAAATGCAGTTACTATTTGTGAAATTAGCCTGTGTTAGATATATGTTATGTATTGCAGGACAAAATACAATTTATAAATGTTCAATTTAATTCATGAATAATAAACATATCAATGGCCTCTGATTAAACATTACTCTTTAGAAAGCTTAAAAAAAAACCCCTTCTGTCATCATTAGAATAAAATAACTGCTTTTTTTAAAAAATCCTTTCTAAATTTTTTGCAGTGATTGTAAATTAATCTAGCAATTAGATAAAGCTTCCTAGACAAGGACAAATTTCTGACAACCAGAAGAGTAACTGTCTGGGTGTGCATTTTAATATAAAAACAGAGATGCAGGAAAAACTAACAAAGTACACAATTACCTTTCTTTGTAATTAATGCCATGCTCATTATTAAAACAGACTCATCGTATAAACAAGTCGCCACAAGACACTAATTATATTTTTGCTGTTAAAGTAGTTCTTGTAATGAAAAAAAACCTCAACCTTAATTCCTTTGCACAGCCATAAAATATAAACCAGAAGTTGACCTGTTTTTTACCCTTGTGTTAAGCTGTTACACCATCCAAGGTTGCTGCACTTTTTCGCCGTGTCATCAGTCTATAGCTGAAAAGAATCAGCCTGCTAAAGCTTTTGGTGCAAATCACTGACCGTTATATCACTTCTGCTATGTTATCTGTTGGTTCCTATCCAGAACCTTGCTTAAGGCAAGTTATTGAAAATGGCTGAGTACTTGATAAGGGAGGGAAAGAAGTGGGAGGAAGGGTTGAGTGGACATACAGTAGTAAAGTGAAGATGTATTCTAGATACCTGCATATTATCATGATCACATCTAATATAGAATATTTTCTTACTACGCATCATTCCATAAACAAAAGCTGATGATGAGGGTAGGAAAATGTAGCATAAACACTAAAATGTGTTTGGTTTTTTCTATAGGAACTCAATGGAGAAAGGACCAAGAGCAAGATTTGAAGAATGTTCTGAAGAACACTGACCAGGACATCCCATTGGTATTTGTCAGTGGAAATCATGATATCGGCAATACTCCAACAAGAGAAACAATAGATAATTATTGCAAGAACTGGGGAGATGACTACTTCAGCTTTTGGGTTGGAGGTGTTTTCTTTCTTGTGCTGAATTCTCAGTTATACTTTGATTCTTCCAAATGCCCTGAGTTAAAGCAAGCCCAGGATGTGTGGCTCAATGAGCAACTGGCTGTTGCTGAAAAACAGAAATGCAAGCATATAATAGTATTTCAGCACATCCCTCTGTTTCTGAGAAAACCTGATGAAGACCACGATTATTTCAACTTGGAAAAATCAGTTCGTCAAGAGATAATGGAAAAGTTTCATAAAGCAGGTATTTTCTCAGATTTTCCTATTTTTGAATTTTTGTTTCAAATTGTTAATGGCTATGCTGTCAGACAAAATACATTTAACTTAAATGGTACTGTTTTCAAGGAATTTTAGATACTGCTTGTAAGCCTCATTATTCCCCGTAGGTCAAAATTGCCAACTGAATCTAATCACCTGTAAAAAGTACCAAACAAAATTTAAAACTTTGAGTGAAAAGTGAAAAACTCTTTAAAATAAATAGCAAGGATTCTATTTTGCAAGTACTGTTAGATGTAAGACAACCTGAGTTGTTCCTGCCTACGGAGTGCAAGATCAGGTATTGCCATAGGAGAAAAATACAGAATTTATGTTTTACATAAAACATGGAAACAGAATTCAGAATTACCTTGGAGGTTGTTTTCTCCCACACTGAGCCAATTTTAAACCAAGAGTGTAATGCACTCCAGATTTATTCAGTGTTAAAAAGAGCCTTGCTCTACTAAGATCAATCCTTTGCATATCCATTACTAATAGGGGCCATTTCTGGGATGATGGGCAGGTGGAGCATGTGCTAAACAAGTATATTATACCAAATCCCTTAGCTTTGTTTGATGATACTTGAATGCCATGGAGACAGTCACAGTATGCAGCTACTCCTCTATGCTGTTCCCATTGTTTCCTGTTAATTGCGTTCGTGTTCCTGGGGTGTGCTAGTCCCTCAAAATTTCCTGCCAGCCTGCCATCGCTGCATCGGAGTGTCATTTTCTCTGTATCTGTAAGAGAGCATGTTATTTGGATTACCGAACAATGCAAATTGTTTATGATATTGTTCCTAATTTACCATATAATTGTTAAGCCTGCACTCATCCAAAAGGAGCCTAATTTTCAAGCTCTGAATTTCCTACTGTTTCCAATCAGTGGGGCCAAAATTCACAGCTATCTGAGGGCTCTCCAGGGGACTGACATATTTGCAGATTCAAGATTTACAAGTGGGGTTTTTTCCCATAAGGAGACGCGCTGAGAATACCTCATAATATCTCTTTTTAATTTTTGTGCTAGTGGTAATATAGTGGGAAGTATTGTGCTATTGGGAAGTTGGGAAGCTAGATGACTGCTTACAAACTGTTGATTAAAAACAGATCCTAGTTCACTGCAGAGCTTGTTAGCAGAAGGACGCTGCCATACAGGTGTATCCCAGTAAATAAGCATTAATGTGGAAACCAGAGCAGTTGTGTTCTAGAGTTTTCTGTCATCCAGATGGTTTACTAACATTTGGCAACACTCAGTACTGGGAATATAATTCATCAAGAGGTAAAAGAAATTATGCAAAATGTTACCATTGCAACATTTATCATGTTACATTATCATGTTTCTTAGAGGGATATTTCAGACTGATTCTCCTTATGTGCATTCAGAGGCTTAACCAAAAGTTGGGTAGGCTTCAAGTGATGGGGAAAAGAAGAGAGGATGGGAAGCCAGCAATACAAGACAACTCTACGGAAGAAATTCCCAAACTCCTTTCTGTGCCAACATCCTATTTGTACCTTCCCTCCATAATTTCTCATTGCATCCCTCTTTCCCATCCCTAAAAATCCTCCCAAAACAGCGTGTTGTTTGGTTCCTTCATGAATACATTAAAACAGTAATCTTTTGCTTGCTGTTTTATACAATAAGTAAATGAGTCAATAGGTAATATTCGCACGCAATCCAATAATCAAACATTTTGCTAATTAAATGAATACAGAGGGCAAGCAGCTCAGTGTAACTCAGACTGCTGAGAAAAATTAGCTGAATCAAAAGTTGGCTCAGAGTTTCCTTAGTAACGTGTGCATTTTGTTTCCATTTTATTATTCAGTTGAAGAATGGTCTTTGTAAGTCTACAAAATGTTATAAGTGGATTGCAAACAGGCAGTTATCATGGTAGGACAGATGCACAGATATGCAATGACACCATTTATTTTCTGACTCTCTGCTTTGCCAAAGAATAATTTATTTCAGCATATCATTATACATGAAATTGGTTTTCCCCCAGTTCACTTCATACATTCTTGGAGGATTAAAACACAGAATATTGTTAATGAAATCCCAATCTACTTGGCATTTGTTTGGGTTTTTCTTAAATTATGACTTGAATTTTAAGAACACGAACCCCTTACAGCACATAAGTTAGAAATTTGGTGTGACTATTTATTCTGGAAAAAGAAAGTAAGTCTGCCTTTTTAATGAGTCCACCAGGCTGCTGTTATTCTTCTTCCCCCGACCTGGCACCAGTCCTTCCTTCTGCTCTCTTGCCCTCTGATTCAGTGTTCCCAACCACTCCAAAGGTTTGTTGTGTAATTATGAAAAATTTCAGTATAATGTGCATGTTTTAGGGGTTGCTATGTTTGGCAATGCAGTGTTGCTACATGGGCATCATATTTCAGTTGTTGATAACCCAGGATCAGACCTGGAACCATCCCATTTTTCCTGTTTATACTTTTTCTAGAAGTGTCAAACACAGAGCCGTAACTTACCTGCTTAGAGAGAGACAGGAAAGGAAGGACAATCTAGTAATTCAGGTCCTTCCATGAACAAAGAAATTCTTATGGGTATGTGTAGGAAATAATCAGATACTTAAAGTGTGGTGATATTGCACAGGTGCTTTAAAGTGAGGTATGCAACTTCAGAAAATTATTACTTTAAATTCAGAGCCCAGATCTTCTGTAGTTATTCTCTTCTAATCACTTACATATTACATAATGTTTTTGGTTTAAGTATCCGCTCATTACAAACAGAGATAAAAGACTAGCTGTAGAGGCTACATCTGGCACAAAACACTGAATTACATTTCTCACATTAGAAGTGTCCTTAACAGTTGGGCTAATTAAAGATAAAATCATGTCCTCATGATAAATATTTATAAATTGAAAATCTGGCACTTGTAAATATGTATTACTACTATGCAAAGTTAAACCATACTTGTAAGTTGCATGTCTAAGAAATCCTCCTAACCCATTTCTTCTTGAAATGCATTATAACAAGTATTGTCCTTGAAGAAGTGATTTCAGTGACAGTGAAAATCAACTCTAGTTGAGAACATAGTTTATAATTTAAGTGAAATACATTTCTGAAAGCCTATTTGTATAACTTCTGAAAGTTTAGCCTCAGTTGTCAAAGCTCTGTCTCCTCTACAAGCAGAAGCTAAGTACAGAAAAAACCTGTGTGCAAGAACTGTGAATGAGCTGACCTGACGTTCTCATCTGTGAGATCTGCTGGAGTCACTCAACTCTGCTGTGTGAAATGCATATTCAGCTTTTAAGAATTTTCTAGTGCTGATATAAATAGGTTTGCTCATAGCTTTGTAGGGAAAATAAAGAAGTAGTAGTGATCTAGCCAAAAATCTGGTCTGCATGTTATGTGTCTTTGATAAACATAAGTAATAAATTAGTTTTTAAATTAAGCAGTTTATGTAATAGAAGACATACTTTTTTCTTACATATCTCATTCCAGTATAGTTTTCTTAGGATGTTAAAGATTTATTTTTTTTTCTATGACCTGAAAAGTATGAGTATTTTTGTAGAGCTATAGACAATCTTCTAAAGACTTTTTGTCCTGAGAACCATCACTGACACACTGAAATTACTTACATTACTTAACATGATATAGCAATAAATGTTTCTTAATGGCCCTAATGAACTAAAACATTTAAGTTCATGTCTGAACTTGTTTAAGAGCTCTGTTGAATAAAACCTAAATTAATAGCTGTTTTTTCACCAGTAAAGTTGAGAAAAGGCTTTTTCATTCAGAGTGAGATGAAAAGTACAGGTGGTCTATCTAGGTGAGAGATTTTGCATCCAAGAGAGAATCAACTAAATAACAGATATAAAATAGAGAAGAAAATTCCCTGCAGTCTCCAGCTTTTTTTAATTAAAAAGTTTTAAGTTCATCTAAATGTCTTCAAAGCAATTTTTCAGATGTGGTTAAGAATACTTAATTTGTACATATGGGGAAAAATAACGTTATTAAGTGGCATATTTTTTCATTATATTTGTGATTGTAGGTGCTGTAACTTCTAACACCTTTACTTATTAAAGAGTGCGATACCTACATTCTCCTCTTAGAAATGTTATGACAAGAGAGTAGTACTAAAGGAAGAAGCAGCTTTCTGAACATCCACAGCTGAGAAATATTTGACCACAGAATTAAAGCATGGAGTGCTGGAAGCTGTTGTTTCTAAAATTTACCAGACAACATATGCTATGTTTCATTATTTTCTTTGTTGTGTAATCAAAGTTGACAAGGGAGTAATACTTCCTTCCTCCTGCCATTGAGACCTCGATTTTGGCAAGTGAGTAATCTCAGTGCTTGCTTATGCATGTCACTTTGTCAGTATCTAAGATAATTTAGTTTTAAATATTCTCAACTTCAGTGATTTAGATCAACCTCTTTCAACCCTGAAATTATGCGCTCACGGCACAGGTAGAGTGACCAAATTTGGCATCTTCTACGTCACTGTGCAAGAGCAGTGTTTTTTAAGACTTTTCCCCAGTTATGGTAATGTAATCTAGCATGTAGATACATACAGACGTAGACATTTTTTTCAGAACTTCAGCAGCAAGTACAAAATAAAATACATTTATTTAGTACAGGCTGTAATGACATTTACTTAGATAAATTTGTGAAATCTGTTTTATCCACTGGGCTGTAGTTTTGATTGATAAAAACTTGTTTTTGATCCTCAGAACACACGGCAAACTAGGATTGTTTGGGGTTTGTGTTGGGTCTCTGAGAAAGCTTCACTTTCAAATGGAAAAAGTAGCAAAACCAGGAAATAAATTCCTCTGACAGGTCACAAGAGGCATTCACAAAAATTAACCTGAAGCAGAGAGTGACCTTCTACAGACAGCACCTCTAAAGGCTTATTTAGACCAGCACTCTAATTAGGTGATCTGGAATCACCCACCCTCTGGCTGTGCCTGTTTTTTCTCCTCTGATTATACAGGAAAACCAACTGAGACTAAGATCCTTGTCTATATAGTTCTATTC